AAGGGTGCAAGCGGCAGTTCCCAACCCTGGAGTACGTCCGGGGCCGGGCGGGGGCTCTGGGAAGAGCAGGCCTGCTCACTGCATAATATTCAGATAGGATCTCCAGGAATGGAGCCCGGGAACCTGTAGGTCTGAGAAGCTGCCCAGGGGATTCTTTTTTTTTTTTTTTTTTTTTTAAGATTTTATTTATTTGTCAGAGAGAGAGAGAGACAGCGTGGGCGAGCACAGGCAGACAGAGCGGCAGGCAGAGGCAGAGGGAGAAGCAGGCTTCCTGCCAAGCTAGGAGCCTGATGTGGGACTCGATCCCAGGACACCGGGATCATGACCTGAGCCGAAGGCAGCTGCTTAACCAACTGAGCCACCCAGGCGTCCCTGCCCAGGGGATTCTGATGGATGGTAAAGGTTACGAACCTGAGTCCAAGGTGAGTGGGAGCTCCAGGCAGCATGAGACCCTCCTGCTTTCACCAGCTTACACCAGCTTTGGGTACTGCGGGGCGAGTGACAAATATTGTGCCAATAACGCCATACCCTGCAAATGTCTACCCGCTTTCCAGTGTATTCCAGTGTCTACCCAGTCTGCTTTCTCTTTACGGAATCGCTTGGCAGTTAGTTTCGCAGAACTAAAGCCAATCTGGTCTGATTGGCCCAAGACGATCTTGGGTGTGAAATGGTCTGTGTATTTCTTGTAGCCAATCGTATGGGCTTTCTGCTGGACAGCTTGTAAATACCGCCTCTTCGGGCAGGGCTATGGAAGCGGGCTCCCTGGGTTTTGCCCGCTGTGTAACCTCGGGCAAGTTTTAGAACTTGTGCGAATCTCGCTTTCTTCACCTATGAAATGGGATGAGAGGAGCCATTGTCATCTTCCAGGATTGTTCTGAGGTTTAAATACTAATGTATCTTTAAAGCGTTTAGCTTGCTGCCTGTTCCTAGCACATGATAAGTGCTCGGTAATTTTCACAATTTTCTTATGGAAATACTCAGAGCTAGTAAATTTGCCCAAGATAATTCATCTGTAGCCCTTGAATCAAAGATGTCTTTGGTCTTAACTGGTAGGGTTAATTCATCACTTGAATATTGGCCTCGAGAGTACCTTGAATTTCAAGCCAGTGTAGCCAGGGGATTTCCTGATTAGAACATTGCCCCCAAAAAAGCTGGTTTCAGTCTGTATTAATGCACAGTCCTGGAGGTTTATTTGTTTCTTTGGTTTCTTCTCCTGAACCCGGCTCCATGGTGACGTCTGGCGTGCAGGGGGTCATCGCACTGCGGCTTTGTTAGCTGCCGAGGGTACGCGATCGCACGCTGTAGGAAGTGTGCGTTATCTGCCTCCAGCCGGACCCAGTGTGTCATCCTTCAGTGGCCAGGGCTCATTCTCCTCAGCTCTCCCACCAAGCCTTGTCTCTTCTTCTGTTTCCCATCGGACTCCAAGGTCCATCTGAACAGGGACTCTGGTTCCAGGCACGGCAGGCCACCTGCACTTAGCAATGTCCAGCACATATTAGGTGCTCACTGAATACTTAGCAAATGAAATCTAGGAGAACACAGGATAAGTCAAGTTAAGGTTTAAGTTGTGTGGCATGAAATCCGTATCCACATTGTTAATGCAGATATAAAATGTTTGAGTAGGGGCACCTGGGTGGCTCAGTCAGTTAAGCCTCTGCCTTCAGCTCAGGTCATGGTTCCAGGGTCCTGGGTTTGAGCCCCTAGTCAGTGGAAAGCTTGTTTCTCCCTCTCCCACTCCCCCTAACTATGTTCCCTCTCTCACTATCTCTCTCTGTCAAACAAATAAATAAAATCTTTAAAAATAATTAAAATGTTTGAAGAATTACCTTAGTTCATTCATCACTTACTGGGTGTCTTATAGGCTGGGCATTGGGGATAGAGGTAATTATAGCTGATTCCTGCTCTCATGGAGGTGAGGTCTAGGGCAGTGGACAGACATGTGGCTGCAGGATAAATGGGTGAGTATGATGATGGAGGGGTACCCCATACACACCTGGGACCACCGACCAGTTTGTGCTTTATGGACACAGACAGTGAGTTGAAACACAGCTGGAGTGACTCTGTATACCCATGCTTGTACAGTTGGTGGGAAGTGCCCATGTACGTGCCAAATAGACTCTTGAATGGCCTTATGTGGATGGAATGGATTTGCCCAGGCCTTGCTTTTCTTCCTTCATGAGGAAAATGAAAATCAGAACAACATTGCTACAGGAGCTCTGGGCCCGAGTTCGGGCCAGTGGGTTTTGGCTTTGGCTCTTCTGCCCTGGCCACTGTCTGGGTGTTGAGGTGCTGTGCTGGGGCAGGAGGATTGGGTTAGATGACACTTATGGCCTTTTGTAGTTCTGACTTCAAGACCCATCATCTCAACCCACCTTCCTGGGGAGTAGAGAAAGAACATGGCAACCGGGAAATTGTTGACCTACATTTACCAGGACTTTGTGGCCTGATTTTGGGGAACGCCCCGGGAGAAATGTTGGTGGTCTGTTCCATGCTCCTCTGTGAGGGGCATGCAGGCGTCTTTGTGTTCTGTGATGGTGGTAAATGCCTGGGTAAGATCCAAGCATCAGTGGAGTCAGCCAGGAGGAGGCAGAGGACCGAGCGCTACACGTGATGTATTGGGAGCGGAATTCACTGACTCTCTTCTGTGAGTACCTTTTTCAGGGATTCTAGCTTCATGTGATTCCTGTGGTTTAGGCCCAGGATATTTGCCATCATCATGGAACGTTGAACACCCTTATGGCCTCTGCTGTGGAAATGTACAGGCTCCCGCTTCTGAGTTAGCAGGCAGCAACACCCGATGGCTTCGCTGTGCTGAGTTGGGATGGGCTCAGGCCCATCCGAGAAAATGTGGTCTCATACACTGGTTTGGTTCTCTCTCTGAGAGCGCTTCCTGACCCCTTGGAGGAGGGGTACAACTCAAGTCCAGGGCTGCCCAGGGCCCCCCAAGGTTGCCCAGTAAGATCGCCCGCACTCACGGTGCTCTTGGTCGGGACGAGGTGGGAGGAACTCTGTTTTACGTGATGGTTATGAATGGCGGTAATGACAAATTACGTTTGTGTTTTGCCTCATGGTTCACAAAGAAGTTTAACATCTCATTTTATCCCCTTGGCGATTCTGTGTGGAAGCCGGGTGGGTTTCACATCTCTTGTTTTCCCCAGTGACTTTCGTGGGGCTCACAGAAGATCAGGGACTTAACCAAGGGATCTCAGGTACGGCATGGTGACTGAGTTAAGAATACTGTTTTGCATATTTGAGAGCCGCTAAGAGTAGATCTTAAAAGAGCTCCTCACAAGGACAGGCAATCTTGTGACTGTGAGCGGTGAGGGATGTCGCCTAGACTCATCGTGGTGATCGTTGGCGAGATACAGATATGTTATATAAATTATGTTATACACCCAAAACTCACATGATGCAGTGTGTCAATCACACCTCAATTTTAAAAATAAAAAGTAAATAGAGAAAGAGGCTTTACCAAGGTCACGGACTGAGTTAAGGTGGCCGCGTGTTGTCCTTGCTGCTCCACCGGGGCTCTGGAGCAGTTCTTGGGGCATTTCTGTCCAGTTTGGACCCTTTCAATATCCCGTCCTCAGTTCTTTCCTCCAGATGTGTTCCTGAAGCCCCCGGGTTGGCCCTGTGCCTGGGGGGCCTCCTCCACCTCTCTGTGGTATGCATGTTATTTTAACCCCTGTGAATGAGCTCTTGCCCTACAGGGACCGCCCCCACCTGACAACCCCCCTCCCCCGCACCCCCCCCCACCCCGCTCTGCACTCCATGTAATGTTCAGATCTGATCACTTCCTTCTAGAAATGGGATATGCTAGTGTGCTGGGTTCTTTTTTTTTTTTTTTTTTTTTTTTAATCCCATTCAAGCTAGTTAGAGCCAAAGCTGAAATAGATGATGGCAATCAGTATGCTGCTTTCAGACCGTGACTGGGCGGCTGTCCCTTCCACCGTGTGAGCTCGTCCCTCCGTGTTGTCGCCACAGTGGCTGGCTTGGTGTCCGGGCCGCGGTTAAGGACTGCTGAAGCCCAAGTAAGGCCAGCAGAGGTATTGTGTCTGGAAAATGACAAGGAAGCTAAAGGAATTTTTACTTAAGATGTTTGCAAAAGAATATTTTAGAGAGTTGACCTGTTTCTCAGCTGGAGTTTAATTTCAGCTCAGAAAGCAGCTGTGTCCCCGAGGGCTTTGGGGTTTCGCTCTGTGACAGATGAATTTAATTGTTGTTGTATGACCGTATTATGCTTTTGTGGCTTTCATGGACCTTTCTCCCAAATGGAACAGATTTTTCTATGAAAGTCACACTTCCTTTTTGAGAAGTGTAACGGTAATTTGTGGAATGATCTCCTCCTGTTCGTTTAACCCTGCCGAGGAGCACTCTGCTTTCGGCTCCCGGGAGTTTGGTCTGGGTTCTGCCTCCACCACCAAAGGACAGTGAAGCAATTCTCAAAGCCGGAGAGCAAGACGCATGTGCATCAGGGAAATTCTCGAATGCTGTTTCAAGTCTCTATGTTATTTGGATCTTTCCCTTACAGATAAGGAAACTGAGGCTCAGCGAAACTGAACCAGCTTGCCCAACGTCACAGAGCTCTCGTGTGGTAGTTCTGAGGTGGCAAGCCAAACCTAGGTCCCAGAGGCCTCCTCTGAGCCCCTGCTGAAAGGCTGCCTCCTGTCACCCCCATACCTTACGATCTCGTCTTCGAGGGAGCCACCTGCCCTCTGAGCTCTATGGGGCTGTGTCTGTCTTATTTACACTGTATTGCCCAGGCCTGATCTAATAGCCGGCACATAGTAGGCATTTGTGGAATGATGACGTGAGGGGTTTCTGATATTAGCATCTTATCATTAATATTCTTGTATATCTGTTTTCTCACCTGACCCTTACAATGGGGAGGCAGAGTGTTTCCCTCCCCTGTTACACATAAGGAAATGATGTTGTAGAGTGTCGAATTGAGTTCTGGGTTATGTATCTCCAGTTCATACAATTTTTTTTTTACCTTTCAGATTCTTCTGAGATTCTTTCTTTGGTGAGGGTCGTCAGAAGGAGGCACAGGTAAGAAGATTTCACGGTCTTCCAGTTCAGTGGCTTTAAAAGAAATTAACCTGTCTTGGCAAGAGCCATTGCGTGATCTGCTGGGAATGCTTAGAATAGAGGTTTTGCATTAAAACCAAGAGAGTGTCTGCTCATAACCATGTCAGAGATGAAGTGTGACTGTCTGGCTTATTTGGTTGGGGGTAAAGCTGGAAATCTTGAGGACACCGGTAAGAACCTTTGTCCCTGCTCGTCACCCAGGACAGTCCCACAGTGGCTCTCCCGCGTTCTTGCCAGCCCTGCTCTGCTCTCTCACTGGCGTTTGTCTTCTTGCGGCTTTTATGAAGATCAGAATTCCCCTGCGTGTGATCTGAAAATTCACATAGGCAAAACAGAGCTTTTCAAAAGTGTGTAACACATCTCCCCACTCATAAAGGAAGCGCATGTTCATTGGGGAGTGTTTGGAAATAAGAAAGATAGAGAAGAAAGTAAGTCTCAGCAGCAGACATCAGCACTAGGACCGAGTCGGCCTTGGGCAGAAAAGCGCTACCATAGCAGGCCAGAGAATGCTGTCCTCTGTCCTCGAAGAGGCCTGCTTGCAAGCTGGGCCCTTGGCTGGTGTCTGGAACTTCCATGTTGGGATGGTTCCCACCACCCTGACAGGTAAAAGCGGCTCCCGGAGTCTGAGGTCCTTGTGCAGAGAGCACGGTTTGTGCCTGCAGACCCGCTGTCCTCCCAGGAGTCTGGAACCTTGTACGCGCCGGGCCAGGGGGGCCCATGTGTGCAGCCCCCAGTGAAACCCCTGATGCTGGGTCTCTAATGAGTTTCCTGGTGACAGCAACTCACGTGCACTTTCCCGTGAAACTGAGGGAGAGGACCCCAGAGCCGCCCACCTCGGGGCCTCCGCACCTTACGTCTTTCCCTGTTGCTGACAGGGCTCTGTGCCTTCTCACAGGGATGAATCTAGCTCTCGGGGTGCCTGTGCGCCAAGCTCTCCTGGCCAGTCATCCAGCCTCCGGGCTAGGGGGAGGCGGCAGGAGATCTTAGAGACCCTTGACCAAGGGCTAGTCCTTTTCTTTTTCTCAGCATCAAACTTTGTTTGTTTGTTTTTTTCTTTAGTAAAACAGGTATGACATCTGTCTGAGATCTTTTTTTATTCCACAAACATAAAGGAGCGTTTTGTCACATCATGAAATATTCTTTCAAAACATGATTTATGCTTAAATTATACCTTAAAGGTTTACGTAACGTTGGCTGTTTGGGCTTTATGGTTTATAGAGCTATAGCAGGTAACGAAAAACCCTTGTTTGCAGAACTCAAGTGTGCATCTCAGCGTAGGTTGTCCTTGGGGTGGGTTGGAGAGGGTGTGGTGGTGTGGGTGATCTGGGCAGATGCCTTCAACTCTTCTGCAGAGAAGCGGTTTCTGCCAGCTCCGTCATGGGCTGCGTTCGAGAACAGCCGCCTCACTGAGTCCTCACCAATACTGAGTATTACCAGGCAAAGCAATTTGTCAACTGGATAAATTATAGATGATATCATTTTAATTTGCATTTTTAAAAATTTATTTATTTGACACACAGAGAGAGAGCACGCACAGAGTGACAGCACGAAAGGGGTGTGGGGGGCTGGGGCAGAGGGAGAAGCAGGCTCCCTACTTGGTGGGGCTCCATCCTAGGACCCTGGAATCATGACCTGAGACGAAAGCAGATGCTTAACAAACAAGGTCACCCAGGAGCCCCTTGATTTGCATTTTTAGTTATTAGTGAGGTTTGAATGATTTTCTTTTCTGACTTGCCTGCCCATCATTCTTTTCGATTGAGCATTTCCCATCCTTTGCCCAGATATTTTGTGATGCTTCTGGGCTGGGATAGTGACCTCCCAGGGAGAAGCCTTGTATCCTCCCTCTGCCGTACCCCCTCCAGGCCTCTGACATGGTGTGTGTTGGAGAAGTGGGCTTTCCTTACGGTGGGAAGCATGACTTCTTGTTGCCCATTGATGAGGTCCTCCTTAAAACAAAGCCCCGATGTGTGCCCTGGAATTGATACATGCCAGGGAAGGACTCCGTGGCGTCCCTCAGAGGATGGGGACAGGGGCAGCTGCTTCCATGGGGGAGAGGGGCAATGAGGGGCCTTTATCTGTTTATCACTCGCTGTAATGGTACAAATATCTCCACCAGGATGTGTCCGTGTATTTCTCATGAAATACAGAAAGATTCCAAATGTGAAAACCTTAATGAGCTCACTAACCCCGTGTGATTGCAAAAGTGACATGGGACGGTAGCAGGGACACAAAGGCACAGAAGGATTCTGTCCCCAGTGCTGAGTCCCTGCCCAAAGGGGACTTGATTGCGGGGCATGTTTGTGTCCACAACGACGACGACTGCCGGTACTTTCCGGCTGCTGGCAGAAAAGATGGCTGAGCACATGCAGCTGCAGTGACCGGGTCGGGGAGGGGAGCTGGTGGCCAGGAGCTGTGTTTGTGCGACAGGCTGACTCCTCACCTTGACTGTTTAGAGGAGGTGCTAGGGAAGGTGTGTCTTGTGGGGGGTGCAGTCGCTACACCCCCTCAGGTCCCTGGGGCGATTGCAGCGGTGACGTCTAGTACGTCACATGTGTGTGCCACACCCATGGCAATGCTCTGGAGGGTAGAGGAGGGGCTGGGGTGGGAGGTTAGAGTGGAGGGAGAATGTTCCCATTTTGCATAAATCTGAATTTTATTTTATTTTATTTTTTTAAAGATTTTGTTTATTTGAGAGAGAGAATGAGAGAGAGCGAGCGAGCATTGGGGGGGAAGGGCAGAGGGAGAAGCAGGCTCCCCATAGAGCAGGGAGCCCAATATGGGCCTCGATCCCAGGACCCCAGGTTCATTACCTGAGCCGAAGGCAGACGCTTAACCCCCTGAACCACCCAGGAGCCCCTCATCTATCTGAATTTCAAGTTTTAATATTTTATTATTTAGCGCCTCTTAATTATGTTTACACATTAATCACATTTGTACTGAAAGCAATATTTACTTCTGAGAATTTGAAAAAAATGTGAAATAACCTGTGACTGTGACTAGGGACTGGTTATTTAGCCTTCCTGTGCCTCGGTTGGGGAGTGGTATTGTATCCATTTTATATGGTTGTCTCAGGAGTTCTGAGATTAAACTCAGAGCCTGGCACTTCCCGAGGGCATAATGCTATCATTTCAACATTTTAGAAGAAAGAGAATGCTAACAGGTCATCCTCCGGCCGTTGTCGGAAGAACCTGAATTCAGTTCCCTATAAACAGTGTGATGGAAAAGCATAATTTGGGCGTCAATAGACTCAGCTGTGAATGGGGCTCTCCGATGAGCCTGCAGTCCTGAGCAGCTCCTTGCTCCTCCCGTACATGTTGGGAGCCATAGCACCTTCCTGCCGCAGGGCCGGGGGCCTTCCAGGGAAGGCAGCAATCAGGAAAGCCGCGGGATGATGGTGAGGGGCACATGGGTGTGGGAGCAGAATGCATCCAGAGAACCCCACGTGGTCTGTCCTGTGCGGATTTGGCCCGTTGTCACAGCAGCAGCAGCAGCAGCAGCAGCGGAAAGGACAGCTTGCTTCGATTTGCATATCTGGGTGTTTGTGCTATTTATAAACAGAAAAGGCGTGGAAGGCTGTTTGTGGCAAGCTGGCAGATCTGGCAAAACAGGGACAGTTCTGTGAGCACAGTTTGCACGAGCGCGGGCCCGAGCGTTCACATAAACAAACACATTTGCCCGTCTTTCAGAGTTGCTCTTAAAAACAGACAGTCAGCCGTTGGCCATATGGTTGATCAGCTTTCCCTTGAAATACAGGGGGTTTGATGGCCAGACGTCTGAAATCTGAAACCATCTTAAAACAGCTTTATCTGCCCCCCACCTTGCCCCTTTTTTCCATTATGAGGAGAGAAGAACGGAGAGAGGACAGTGTCACTTTAGAGGGGCTCTTGTCACCGTCTGTCCTATTCCCTGTTGACCTGTCATGTCAGCATCACTGCAGGTCGGGTGGAGACATCCTTTCTCCTCTTCTCTGTGGCATGGTTCCGTCCCGCATCTGTCACTCTCTGGTGTGTGTTCCAGTTTGTCTGTTCGCGCCGGCACACACGTGGGCTCCCCGAAGGCCCAGGTTGGCGTCTGGAGTTGCTGCTCCCCACCCCCAACCCAGGCACAGCGAATTGTGTTTGTTGAGTGAATGGGAGGGGTGAGACGGCCGCTCTTCCCTCTTCTGCCAGGTCCTGAAAAATGCTTGTGGGAGATGCTGCGCGAGCAGGGAGTAGGGGACTGTAGGCGATGAGGCCACACGCGTCCCTGGGGGATGTCTCGTCAGCCCAAATACTTAACCTGGAAGAAGGTGCGAGTCTTGAGTGGAAACGTGGGAACCGCTTTCTTGGGAAATTAGCAGGTGGTCTCGGCATTCCACACAGGTAAGCGACGCTGCCCTGTGTGTGTGTGTGCGCGCGCACGGGCCATGGGCTTCTGTCCTGGTGCAGAGAGAATATACAACCCGAGGCATGAGAAAACGAGCTGCCCAGCATCACCAGGTAGAATGGGACCAGAGCCTACCTGTGTCCTTCCCAGAGCCTCACTGCTGCTCACCTCCCTGCCCTCTCTCCTGCTCACACCATCTTCCTCCACTCCAAAAAAAGCAGGAACAGGGGAGAAAATGTACCCCCGTGCCACTGGTGCAGAGAAAAAACCCAGCAGCTTCAAATCACATTGACACGTCTTGTACCGAGAGCAAGGGTGATTTTTTACAGTACTTTTAAATTTCACAGGACCTTACATTTTCTCATAAGTTTTATAATACAAGATGATCGAAGGGGTTTGGGGAATGGTGACTTTAGAAAAAGGGGGAAAAATCAAAGAGAGAATTGCAGTTCTTGCTTTACTGTCAGCCTAGCATTTAAGTGCTTCCGAGTCCCCGCGCTGCAGCTTGGACCATTATGAGGCCAGTGACTACCCATTGTTCTAGAACAGCAGATGCCGCCCCCAACTCTCCCCTCTAAGGGCAGTCTTACTCATTTTAAATGCAAATGACAGGAGCAGCAGATGGCGAGGTGGGCTAAGAATTTAGATGTTTGGTCACTGACAGCTCTTTGCTTCCGCATGTTACGTCGGGACCTGGGACTGGCTGAGCCCGAGGAGAACTGATTATGATCTGTCCCCTTGCCAGCTGGGCTCTTTTTCTCGCCTGGTCCAGAAGGATTGCTCTCCTGCAGTCCGTGAAGATGGATCGCTGATTGTTTTGAAATCATGAAGGGTTGTTCGCACCGTCCAAAATCCTGAAGCGGAGAGAGCTATCCAAAGGCTCTCTTCTCTTTGTGCTTCAGAGCTTTTGAATCCGTGTCTAGGGTTTACGTGAGCTAATTAAGGTCTTCTTCAATAGGTAATTGAATATGTTCCTGATTGAACAGGGGTGTGCCCCATGGCATAGCCCCTAGCACTTTGTTTACATGAGGATATGATGCTTAGAACAGAACCTGGACCTAAATGACCGCCTAAATGACCCCTTTTATCTTGTCTGAATTCGGATTTGGCATCAGTATTTAGCAATGCAGCCATAGAACTGGCCCAGCTCCTCCTTCCTCCCTTTATACAATCCAAAGGTGTTTCCAGGGTGGGAGTGCTCCTTGCCTTTCTCCTCACAGGCTGTGCCCCTGTCCTGCCTACCTGACTTCCCTACCTGTCCCCCCTCCTCTGGGCGTTCTGCAGAGGGATCGGCCCCTGCCTTGGCTTTCCTGTGGCTGGAAGAGAGGGGTCGCTGCCAGCTGTCCCGTGGGGGGCGTTCATCTTGCCAGTGCTGCGGTCTGGTCACCGAGTGGCACCGAAAGCACGTACTTTTGCAAAACCAGAGGTCAAAGTGATGGCAGGACCCATCTCTTCGTCAGGATGCTCTGAGTATCTTAATCATGGCTGGAAATCCATGAGAAAATATGTGATTCCTGAAATTTTGGGTTAGAGGGATGTCAGGGACTTGTCGTGGAGTGAGAGCAGAGCAGAGAGATGAAGGGGTGACAGGCACGCTATGCATCTCCCTGCTAGGCACCGGTGGATGTGGGGCTGCATCCCACGTGTGACTTAGGAACTTGTCTGGCGATTGTGTTTCAGCTCCCTCCCCAGTGCTCTTCCTCTGCTGTCATGCTGTTCCTCGTACTGTAGGCCTCCAGCTGCATGCACCATGGGAGTGTTCTTGCTGGTCGAGAGGGAGCGCTGTTGCTGCACCGTCCCGGTGCCCTGGCTTTCTGGCACAGGCACCTGGCCGGCAGCACGTGGGTCTCCTGAGTTCGCTGTTTTAGCATACAGTTCAAGGCTCTGGGAAAAAAGGGGCCGGAACCGGCAAGAGATATACTGGAAGGACAGTTCGCCGAGTAACCTGGGATGGAGACAGTTTGCACGGGCAGCACGGGACGCGCTCTGCGTGCGGCATGTTCTTTACAGCCCCTCCCAACAGCATTCCAGATTTCTAGAGGATTTGGGGTACCTGGAAACGCCAAGGACGGCCCTTCTGCAGGCTGTGGGCAGTCAGGGTTCATTCTGGGTTCATTTGCTCACGGCAGCCTTATTCCCGGCCATGTGTGAAGGTTGGACGTCCTCCTGGCGGGGCTGGTGCAGGGGTTTGCTAGGGCTGACGTGAGGTAGGGATGTGCATTTGAATCTGTCTGAACTATGAGTGAGCGAAACACAGGCAGGTGCCCTTGGCCACATTATTTATTAATCACTGTACCACCTCCCAGTCAGACTCTGGATGAGGGTCCCTCGAGCCCTCCTGCGTGTGTGCACACACTGCCCACACTCACACCCCCTCCCACCCATCCATACACACGTGTCCTTTTTTTTTTTTTAAAGATTTTTATTTATTTATTTATTTGACAGAGAGAGAGAGAGAGAGAGAGAGAGATCACAAGTAGGCAGAGAGGCAGGCAGAGAGAGAGGAGAAAACAGGCTCCCTGCTGAGCAGAGAGCCCGACGTGGGCCTCGATCCCAGGACCCTGAGATCATGACCTGAGCTGAAGGCAGAGGCTCAACCCACTGAGCCACCCAGGCGCCCCACACATGTCCTTTTTAAAGCCCCAGCTTTATTGGCCATGTCTGCTTCCAGCACTTTCCCATCCCACTGCCCCTTCTGTTTTACCTCCCAGACACCTGTTGTCTCCAGTTGGCCTGCCTTCTTCCTTCCTGGTGTTGGAGGCTCCTGCGGCTGGGAAGCACCCTCACAGTTTCCAGGGTTTTCTGAATCTTGTTTTATCAGGCCCTGGGGATGGTGGAGAGGCTGAGGCTCAGGGAGGGGCTGTGCGCGCTATTTGACAACGATGGGATTTTCTCCCGCACAGGCAACTTGCCGTGTGCTAAATGCTAAAGAATGCTTGACTTCTGCCCTCCTTAGTGAAGGATGCTTCGTGAACCTAGCCTTGCTTCCAACAGGAAAAGCATGATTCGCATATCATCTTGTTTTGTATCACTGGGTATCGACGGATAGGCTGTTCTGGAGCTCCTCGTTCACTCAGCCGGGGTCTACTGACCTGGGTACGTGTGCACTCTGTGGCAGCTGCTTTGTGGGCCCCTGGGACTCACCCCTAGGGTCACTGTCCCTCAGGATGGCCCGGCCCAGACAGACATGCAAAACTGGTGGTGTTTTGAGAGTGCTGGAACAGGGTTCCTGCAAGGTGTGGGGCTGAGCTCCTGTGTCCCCACCGCCCCCCAAGCAGCTCGTCCCCACAGCTCTGCATGCCCGCCAGAGCCCTCGCCACAATGCTTTGAAATTCTTAGCTTATGCGCTCATCTGGATTCCCATGAAATGGCAAGCTCTCGAGGGACACAGTGTGGGCTATGTACCCATTATTGTTACATTCTCGTTGCCCAGCATGGTAAAGGCAAAAGATGGACAAGGGTTCTTTATTGTTTCATCAAAACTACGTGGGCTGAAGGAGGGGTCCCCATGGTTGGGGGAGCGGGGGATAGACAGGATGGGCTCACCGAGGGAGGGAGGAGTGGGTTTTGTTTCTCAACTTTCATTTGCAATCACACAGACTTAGGGAAACATCGCAGAAATAGCACAGAGAACTCCTGTATGCCCTTCACCAGATTCCCCAAACATTTTACAACATGAGTACTTCCTCTTGCTCTCCCTCTCTCGCTCACTCTCGTGTGTGTGTGTGTGTGTGTGTGTGTGTGTGTGTTTATTCATTCATTCATTCATTACCAAACTGTTTGGAGCGGAGGCTGGATTGCAGGGGTGAGGTGAAGAAGTGGCAGAGGAGAGGTGGGCTGGGAGCTCTCACAGCAATCTGGGCAGAACACAGTGGCTGGGCCTGGTGGGAAATGACTAGAGAGTTGAGATGGGGTTCATCTGCTGTATGATTTGCTCACAGGTTGGATGATGGGCCTCAGGGATTTTGGCCCGAGTGGCTGGTACACTAGTGATGCCATTATTGAGATGGGGACGACTGGGAGGAGGGGGTTTGGCAGGGGGAGTCAGAAGCCGGTTGTAGGGCTAAGACTGAGGCCCAAGCACAGAGGGCCTGGAGCACTGGGGGAAAAGAGCAGAAAACAAGACCTCAAAGAACATGAGCAATTCAGAAGGATAGAGTTAGCAGATTTCATTCGTAAGCGAAGAGGCCATTGAGGTGTGAGGAGTCCCCAGCTCATCTAGACAGGGCTGAGCCTGCTCGTGTCACACGGTCCCCTCTGTTGGTGGAAGCAGCTGGCTTTCATCCGCAGATGCACGGAACTAACCCCCATGTCCTGTTTCTCATAATGTGCCATCTGTGTCCCATGGCCTTTGCTTTCACAGCTCTTTGTCACCACTCCTGTCACTTGCCTCTGGGTGTCTCCCACACTCGACCCCATCTCCCCAGCATTCCTCAGGAAGGCTAGATTCAGCTTCTTTTCACCACAGAGGGCAGCTGGCAGTGCAGACGGGGTCTTAATGGAAGATGAGAATTGAGGGGAGATTACTGTGTAAATGGTAGGTGGAGTCAGAGTTGGAGGAAGTCACCCAGGGATGAGTGTACTGATGAGGAAAAAGCCCCGGTGCAAGATGATGAGCGGGAAGAGCAGAGGAGGCCAGGCCTGGGAGGCAAGTGGAGAAACTGTGTCCAGAAGGGCATGTGACAGGTGTACGGTCAGACGCGGTCCCATCAGTGAAGTGAGGGCAGATGTCCCTGACTGTACAGGAGCCCGTCAGAGGAGGGGCCAATGCGATGAGGGAGCCTGACGGGGTGGGAAGGACGGGAGTTGGGGGGAGGCAGTGTGGGCCTCTGTTTCGAGGGATCCGGCCAAGTCAGGCTTGCTCTAGATGGTCCGTCCTGATGTTATGCACAGTACTTCGTTTATTTCGTAAGCTCTGGATCCTTAGCCGGGAGCAGATGAACACCCTTCAGCTGGAAGACTAAATGTGTATTAAAACTCTCTTAGTTGTGGCTCA